GTAGGGAAAATTGTTTGAAACAAGAAATACGTAAACAACCGTTATGTTTTCAATTACGGTGACTGAAAGAAATTAAATTTAATGCTTGCAAGTAGTACTAATCGAGGACTCTCATCGCGTAAATACTCACCTTCAATTTGAAGTTATGTGCGTTTAAAAATATATTTACAAGTCGTATTGAATTTGTAGAACAACTGAACATTGAAAATTTCTTAGCAGCTACAACAAAAACGTGTAAATGAAATCCCAATGAAACCGATTTAAACAAAATTCATTTGCAAATATATTTTCTTGAATAATAAATAATGTTATGTGTGTTATAACCTGAATATTTACTGTGATTTGAAAAAAATAATCATATCTGTTACAGATATGTAGATATATGATAACAAAGTGAATAATGATAAACTGTATACGTTGTATGTTTTTAAAGCTATTCAAACTAATCATCGGGGTATTTCAAGATTACACGGAGCAAACATGACTGCAACGGATCTTCTGATGTCTAATAAATATTCTTATACAATTTTGTTATATCAACGTATTTCTCAAGCTGTGCTACTTACAAGGTGGGCCACCAGAAACCGAACACCTAAACATCTACTTGTATATATGGTAAAGTTATGAAAGCATGTTTCGGTAGGTACAGAGTTGCACCGTTTGATGGGCGTAATGGGCTGTCAGGAAATTCATTTTTTTCGAAGGCATTTTTTAGAGATATCAAAGTCATCGATGTTTTTTTAATGTGTACACATATTTCTGCTGCAATAGTATTACAGTCCATGGAAGAACAAATTGAAGGATATTGGAATGTTAACCTTTAACCGACCACCCAAAAAAATTGCGTTTTTGGTGGAAAACACAGCAATCTCAAACTTACACTTTACAATCGAAATGGTGTATTTGTAAAACGTCTGCGAATCATGAAAACGATGAACTTTTCACAAACTTGCAACAAATGTTCAAAGTGATGGCCTTCAGTAGCAACACATTGTCTAAAACGGACGATCACGACCTGCACTACATGTTCGATGGTATTTGCTCCGACCATTGCACAAGTTCTAGTGATACGTTCTTTCATGTCTTGCACGATAGTAGGCTTTTCACGGTAGACATCTTCCTTGAGGTTCCCCGACACGAACAAATTTTAGGGTTTCAAGTCTGGCGAGCGAGTTGGCCATTTTATGGGCCCACAATGTCCAATCCAGCAATTTGGAAACATCTCATTGAGAACTTGTGTTACGGAACGTGAAGAATGGGCCGAACACATCGTGCTGATACCACATTCTGTTGCACAGGTGCAGTGATACATTTTCTAGAAGAACTGGCAGTGTTTCTAACAGGAGTCTCTCATGTTTTTGATGATGAGATGAGACACAATAATTTCATTGTTCATGATTCCGCACCATACGTTAACTGTCTATGGTCTCTGCTTGTCAACTTCACGTAACCATCAAAGGTTTTCGATTAACCAATAATGCAGATTTCTTAAATTTACTGGTCCATAATTTGTAAAAGAGGTTTCATCAGTGAACAATGTTTTATTATTGAAAAATGCGCCATTTTCAATGTTTCGAATCTCCACTGGCAGAAGTGCAATCGGTTTTCAAAATCTAAACCATGAAGAAAATAAATGAGATAAATGAAAGGGGTGAAATGTGTGTGAATGCAGTGTCTGTAGAATACTTGATCTGCTAATTGCACTTTCTTTTTCAAACTGCCTTGCGCTTATTTGTGAATTGTACTGAAATGCTGCTAGAACATCGACTGCATTTGCCCCCATATGTTGTATTCCTGGGTCTTTAAAATGTTGTATTATTTTTTACATTACCAGTTGCGCGAAACTTTTTAATTAATTACGATTAGATAGAAAGAGATGGATCGGTCCGATTAGGAAACCTTTCTACGTATAATCGAATCGCATCCCTAAAGCCCGTTAGAGATTCGAGCGGAGTGCACGCACTGTCCGCGTTCCGTTCTACGCGCGCGGAGCTCGGAGGATTCAGTGTTCTTTTCACAGTCAAACGGACTGTACGCGATTTGATCGCGATTAGTCTTACTTCA